GGACGGATGGGTAAATCAAACGGGTAACCGACGTAACGAATGGGCGAACAAGCGGATAAACGGGGCAGGCGAGTGGTCTGGGTACGGAGGAGCGACTGCGGGTAAAATCGAGACTAGAAAAGTGAGGCAGCCGATGAACGGTACTAACGAACGATTAATGGGTCATATAGTAAAAGGACTATCACGGCATAATGCCACTAAATATCTTGGTAGCTTATCTCCAGGCCGGATCGATTGATATGAAACGGTTGGCCAGCAGTACGGGACTTTCCGTATGGGGTTTCCACACTTATTTCCAGCGGTACAAGGCTTCACGTCATTGACTTGTCGTAACTTTTTGGGTCTACAAACATTACCGTTACCATGGATGATATAACACTGGATTGGTGTCTCGTGAAAATTAACATTGGGATCCGCGACATTGGGATCAGGCCTGCCATCTAGCGAGAGAATTGTCGTCAGTTAGGAGCAAGCCGAGTGAACGCCATCTCTCAGCATTATGACACACGTGGGTGTGGTGTGTTAGTTGGCTTGAAGTGCATATTCCCACGAGTTGGAGGTAATCTTACTGGACCTGAGACGACAAAAAAGGTCTTAAATACTTGAAAGCCAAAAACATCAAGCAGTCTTTAGGTAATACCGAAAATAAAATGCGTAAGACGGTGTGCATTGAAACACCCAGTCCCATCGGCTTGTACGACCTTTTATATGGTCATTTACTCGCAATGGTACAGCAGTTTGACAATATGTCATACATATTTGGTAGGCTTATTCCTTCTTCTCCGAATTTCGCCCGATTTTCTTCATCTTAGTTAAAGGGACCCTCCCACCTTCAAAAAAGTTTATGAATTGGCATGAAAGTGATGTCGCTCGGTTCAGAAAGAGCGAGGACGAATATCTACCAAATTTCACCGAAAAATATTCACCCGTTTTCAAGATATTAGACTTTTACTTTTGTTTACTTTTTAGGGATCTCCGCTGTTTCTAGCGACTTTATTTTAGAAGTGCGGCGTTTGCGGCAGATGCTGCGCGCAAATAGCATATACCACCGCATGCTACAAAACATTTTAGTCAAACATTTAAAAATCGTTAGATATCTGCGCTGACGTCACACATTCAGAGGGGTATTCCTAAGCATTAGCCCCTCTGAATCAAAATGCTGCAATTTTAAAATTCAATATTTCCGATTTAAGGCATTTCTCGATGTTGTGAGTGCCGAAACCGGTAATTGTGAGCCAGGGACCCCATTTTGGCTATCTCAACTCAAATCTAATGTTAAGGTGGGAGGGTCCCTTTAATGTTACGGCACGTGCCACGTGCCAACTTAGGGGTGTCGAAATTGTTCCACATAAAGTAACTCCGCAATGGCTGGGCCCATTACAGTAAAACTTCGTCAATTGTTAGGCACCCAGTGGCCAATGCATTTCCATGTGTCACTATGGGGGTGCTACTGCACGTGCACACGTGCGGGGTGCCGCTTCCATATCTCAAGAACGGCTGGGCGGATAACACTCAAACTTGGTACACAAATGTCACATCGATGCTCGCACTGAATTGATCAGTGCTTACATTGGTGCAGAGTCGTTAGGAAAACGATGAAAAGAGATGCGTGGTGTTTATGCCTTTCTATTCCAGCAGCTGATTGACCCGCAACAGGAGATCCCTGTTTGTGAAGGCTTCGTCTCCCTTTTCCACTCGTTGTTTGAAATAACATTAACAATGTACGAAGAAGATCACACGTCAAAGTTGTTTTAGGCGGCTATCTTGGGCCAGGGCTGCGGAGTTGTAGTCAGAGCCAGCGGTTCTGTTCCGACTCGGAGTCGGTTGATTTTTAAAAGCTGTAGTCGGAGTATGAGTCGAACGTCACCGAAACGTCATGGACTCCACAGACTTACCAGGTCTGCAGAGTCGGAGTCAGAGTCAGAGTCTGTGTGAATTGACAGTTCTGCCCGAGGAGTCGGAGTCGATATTTGGATACCAGAATCGGAGTTGGAGCCAGAGTCACTGAAATTTCATCGACTACGCAGCACTGGTTGGGTCCTTTTCATAGAGCGTCTTGAATGACATATTGAGCGGCAATGACGTTAGCAGTTCCGTTTAAGTTTTTCATTAGACTTATAGATAGTACTTACGTTCGATTTGTTCTTTGATCGGACAATTTGTTTGATTTAGGCCAAGTAACGACTCATGTGAAAAATAGCGAAAACGACACGTGCTGGCGAAGTCTCCAATAACTCCCTGTTTCACGATTTAATGAGGAAATGACATGGAACTGCTTATCTTCTTACTAACCCTGCACATAAATCTATTAATTTCTTCGCTTTTACTGACACATAAAGACATAACCTTTTGAAAAATTGCACAACAAGCCTGCTACTGCACCACACTCCCGTGTGTCACAATGCTAATCAGCGGCGTTCACTCGGCTTGCTCCTAACTTACGATAATTCTCCCGCTAGATGGCAGGCCTGAGCTCAATGTCGCCAAAAACTGTGAAGACACCAATCCATTATTATCTCATCCATGCCGTTACCAACGGGGGCTACATTACATCATTTCAACGCTCTTGGGGTTCGCAGCAGTCTCCCTTCTCCACTACCATGGGGCTCCACCTTCTCCACCCTCCAATCGGCACTTACGCCCCATGGGGTTATCGGTTTCTTTCCACTCACCTCCCATGGGGTTCTCGGTCTCCTGCGGGGACAGCTCGGTCACCTCGCCCTCATACACCTCCTTCATCTCTTTGATGCGAAGGCCGATGGCGCGCCGGAAGTTTTCCATCAGCACCTCAGTCTTCTTGATCTCAGAGCTAAACACTTCGGAGCCGACCATAGGGCAGAACGGTACCTGCCGAGTGGCGCGACAGCGGTGAGCGGCAAAGGACCACGGCCGGTTCATCGGACGGATTCACCGTCGGCATGGGGACGTATCACTCTACAAACCAAGTGCGCTGTCATAGGAATAAAAAGCGCACATGCAGCGCGACGCAACTCTCAGACTCTCCGTGAACCAGGACTTACGATCGTCATTTCCGAGACAATTATGGTTTCAAATTCATCACACTAGCTACAAGTGTAAGCGGCGGGGACCGCTGTGTCGCGCTCACCTTTGATCCGAGCTCCTGCGACACAGCCAGCGCAACTGCGGTTTTACCGGTACCCGGCGGGCCGACCAGTAGAATACCCCTGCCCGCCATCCGCTTTGACTTGATCAGGTCCACAATAATGCCACAGGCCTGTGTACAAATGGCAGTGTTAGAAAATTACATAATAGGGGTCTTGTAGAGGCAGCATGTCCAACTCAAACAAGTCACGCAGAAGGTAGAAAAATCATCTCTCTCACCTCCCGTGCATCCTCCTGCCCCACAAGACCTGCAGCACATGAGACGGCATGACCAGCCTCATTCAAGCCCAGTCCCTTGACATGGCTGTGACTGGAGACACGCTGAGCCTTGGTGGTGCTTTTGACCTCCTCAATCTTCATAGCTCGAGTGCTGGTGGGATCAGGTGCTCTGAAACATTGGCTCAGGTTACTGTGTAATGTCTAACATTCTATGTAATTTTATAATATATGAGAGAAGAAACCACACTAAACCAAGTACTTAGGATGCTGCCTGCTGGACATTATCACCATCTAACTACAATGCATACTCATAACATAGACATTGTCAGAGATTTTAGGTTGGGAGGACAAAATCAACTTTGGTGTACACTTTCCAAAAGTTACTTGTTATATATGCCATTTGACAATTGACATGCCCTAGAGTGGAGGAATAGGTTGGAGAGTGATGCATTAGAAGAAGTTCAAATAAATAAAAGAGTGGCTGGTATGGACCGGGACCCTCATGTCTTTCTAAGCAGCTGTGCTTAAAGCGACTGACGCTGAGGAGCCCCCACCAGACCTTGCTGGCATTTGGCAATGGCATCAACTTCAACAATTATTGAAATGAAAATTGATTTAATGATTATCAGGTAACTGGCAGAATCAAAATAGTCCTACCATATTGATATCAAAAATGACTCCCTGCGAAGACCAAATTGCCAACTAAGTGAACTAACTCAATACAGGAAAGTGGGTTAAGCAAAGTAAACTTATGGAGGTCCCCAAAAGCTTGACCACAAAGTATTAAGCACCACAGTGACTATATCAATTAGGTAGGTATGAATTCACTGCCACTAAACTACCAGGTGGATGCCTTATTGTTATCCACTTGTGGCTTGTGCTGTGTGCACACAGCGCACATTTAAATTGAGGCTCAAACTACTATTGGGCAACTGGGTATAGGCGATTTTGCTGTGGTAGGGTGCCGACTGCCGAGTGAAGCATCTTGATCAATGATCTGTGACGCTGCGTAAAAAGCTCCATTTTCCAGATACTCAAGGCGGCAGATTATAAATTGGTTACCACCAATTCATCCTTTCAGAATGCTACTTTTAATCCGGAAAATTGCCTTTACTTAGCTAGCTAGGAACCAAGCAGCTCAACCATTCCAATTCCTTTAAAATCGAAATTGAGATGTCATGAATCATGATTGAAGCCGGAAATTTTTGAGCCAGAGCTCTGTTGATACCGCAGTATAAGGCACAGACAGATGTAATACTGATACTCAAGCCATCAGCATGGGCTCAAATTATGCAGGCAATAATAATTTTATGAAAAAATCCAACGAATCTAATCAAAATACCTTGTAATCCTGAAACATGAAACGCACGATGGAAACTGTCACCCACTTGCTACCCACGAGGCAGTATTGAATTAACAACCAGCGGAAAATGAAGAAAGCTTTGATGAGTGACGTTAACAGTAAAATTTAACAAAATAGCCGTAAATGAGCCACACAAATATGATTATTCATATTTTAATATTTTAAAATTAAATTTTGGATTGTATAAACAAAATAAAAGTTGCATCATGTTGTGAAATATAATCAGAATACGTCATTTTCGGACTAAATTTTATTATCTTCCGCAAAAACTGCGCAGCTACGACATCCGTGGCGCAGTCTGATTTTTGGGGTGTGGTTGAAGAGCGTTGAATTGAAATATTCCAGTTTGATTGCAATTGTTGAAAATAGGTGAAAATTTTCGCATCTTTTATTGATTACCAAAAATAACGGATTTAATTCATGAGATTTCCATGAGATAATTACCTACGCATTGTAGAGATACCATATAGCATCTTAAACTTGCTATTGGTTATTTTATTTATCGTAATGCTTTCATGATTTATAGAATTGGTAGAATGAAAAGAAAGGTATACCACAGCTGAAGTTGGTGCATTATAAATCAAGCTGAAGTGATGTAGTTGTTGGTGAAGAAAACAAATGTGCATGCCTTCAACTTAGTCCATAGGATTGCATGCCCAATGGCAGACCCACTGTCCGTTGAGCTGGTCACGATTATCTCAGACATTTTATGTCGAGTTCAGTTATGATGCTAATATGACAATCAAGTGTACTCAGTGTAGATATTGGTTAAGCCAGTACCCGCTGAATTACTGAGCTAGCAACTACAGGGTGTATCAGAATTATCCGGACACTTTGTTTTCCCCTCTGATTTGGAAAAAAGAGAAGATTGCATTTTCAGTTTATTTTCCGATGTAGCCGCCCTTCATAGCGATACAGTCACGCATACGCTGGGGCATCCCTGCCACCAGGTTCTCCAGCACATCGGGCTTGATCCGGCCCCACGCCTTTTTGAGCTGCTCTGCTAGCTCGCCGGCGCTGGTAGCCGGTGTCATCTTGTCGACCTCTTGCTGAACGATGGCCCAGAGGTTTTCGATCGGGTTGAGATCGGGGCTGTTACTGGGCCATACGCCACGCTCCCAGAAGTCGGACAGGTGCTGGCGACACCACTGCAGTCAGCAGTGTTTTCTGGGCCGTGTGCGGTGGAGCGCCGTCCTGCATGAAGATGGCCCGGCTTGTGTCCGTCATCAGAGAGGCTTCAGAACGCCGCCTGTTTCAGCCGTTCGGTGGATGGCGTCCAGACAATCCTTGGCGAGGATGTTCTCTCGGTAATACTCTCCGTTGATGACAACTTTTGGAGGCACCACGTGCAGCTGGGAGAGCGCACGGTGGGACATCATTCCCCAGACATGCACCTTCACAGAGTGCTTGACGGTGGGGACGGTCTGCACGTCTGAGCTGCTGGCCACCCACACGCGGTCGTTTTGTCGGTTTGGTAGGTGGTACAGCTCGTACGGCGACTCGTCCGACCACAGGACTCACTGCCAGTCTTTCACTGACCAGTTTTTTTTCGCTCCCGTGCGAACTTCAGACGGTCAGCACGCTGTTTTTCAGTCAGCTTTGGCGATTTTTTTAGCTTCAGCGGCCTCATCCCTAGATTTTCGCGGAGATAGCGGTGAACTGTTGCATGGGATACCTTGTAGCCTGCATTGGTGAGGCGTCTCGAGAGTTTTCGGGTCGATTGATGCCGTTTACTAGTCGCCATCTTGATCACTCTCTTCACCACCGGATGGAGCGTGCTCTTGCGACCACGACCGGGCTGACTGGCGAGCCCCTGGCCCAGCTTCTCTCTCTTTAATCAGAGGTAAAGCTGGCTTCGGCTGATGCTGAGTTGCCTGCAGCCCATCTTGGGCCTCATCCCTCCATGCACCATCCCCACAGCTTTGCCACGAAACGAGGTGCTGTAGTTTTTCGCCATACCCCTCTGACGCTCAGATACACCAACGAACTGTTCTGTGACCCGACCTCTACTGACCGGGCGGGTCAAGATCAGCGGCGAATGGCAGACGGGTGGGGCGCACGATGGTCTCAGGTTGGTATTTACCCAACCTTTAAATTCATACAGCTCCATGACGGACAGAGAGAGCAGAAATACGAGAAAACAAAGTGTCCGGATATTTCTGAGACACCCTGTAGGTACGTACTGATATTTTTTTACCATTGATCCAGTTCCAAGAATGCCAATGTAGGTTGTGGGCGTAGTCCTGCCCCTACCTGATGACTGACAAATTGATGACTTTATTTCAGATTCTGTCACTGCAAGGCCTAGCAATTGGTGAACTAATTCACACCTAATTGCCACTCTTCTGTGCAGTATATGATTATTTTGGACTCTGGAGCAGCCTCTGGAGAATCACAAGTCACTGGCATTGGTCCTAGTTAGGTGGTTACCATGAGTGCATGTGACAGCACACCACTTGCAGACAGTTCTGCTGAAAGCCTTGCCTCTGCTTCGCCATCTCATGGCGCCAGCGGTGGAACCTTTAACACTCCTGTCATCAGAAAGAGGTCCAGGGATGGGCCGGAGTCGTCCGAGCCGCGACCACGCTTCAAACGGCGACAGCTGAGCCTGGCCAATGCTGAGCTACGTGAAAAGGAGGACAAACTGCAGAAACTGCGGCTCGTCAACCACTACAGGCAGAATGTGAGGATTAAAGCAATATTTTGGTCATGTTTTGGTCTTGGAACGATAAACTTGACTTCACACGACACACGTTACCGGGACATTTTCATTTCATATCATTTCGTCAGCTCCCCCGGCCCGGCTGATGCCCTCTCCGGGTCACTGCCCGGCTGATCCCTCCCCCCCCCCCGTCCCCAGCACAGCCTGCCGGAGCTGGCCCGGCTGACGGGCTGCTGGCGAGAGGCGGCCCAGCAGGCGCTGGCCGAGCTGCAGCAGCGGCTGGAGGCGCGCGGACAGCCGACAGACATGGCGCAGCTGCTGCGCCACCTCGGCATCGACCCGCACCTGGTCCGCTACGACACGGAGGGGCAGGAGTTCCTGCCGCCGAACGGCACGTGAGTCGACACGTCCCAGGGACGATCTGTGGATATGCGGCCTCTGTTTGGCCTCTCGGACGTCCGCCCCAAACCAAAAACAACCTATCCGTTTGAGCTCCAGTGAATGTGATATGCCGCTCCAGTGAATGAGCTCCAATTTATCGTCCGTCCCATTGTGTGGCGTGTTGCGAGTTTTCTGTCAACGAAAAAAGCTCAGTGGAACGTGCACTCTGTGAAGTGATAAGGGCTGTGACGTGTATTCCCGACTGGACAATGCTTCTTCTAACATCCAAGCATCGCTCTGCTTGAATTCCTGTACAAATACAGTTTTGTTTGTAGTCTTGTATTCGTGTTGACTTAGTAATATATTAACGCCCTTTAGCCTGCAATGAGTGGCCGACGAAGATAGTGACATTGTTCGTTGCTGCCCGTCATAACTCCAAAACCTAGTCACAACCCGCCCGAGGGACAGTTCAATGGTTACTCCCGCCTTCACATGCCTAGAGTCCATAACAGGGGTGTCAAACTAGAAGCGTCCGTCGCCGCGCTCCGTGGCTGTGCTCGGGAAGAGAGGTGCAGTACACTGACAGGCCGCCGCCACACTCGCAGCCGTCGGGTCGGCGGCCCCCGCCGGGCCTCCCGCGGAATGTCGACTTAACGCCGCACGCGGGACATCATAAAGCCGCGCAAGGCATAGACGCGGCGGCGGCGCCCGCGGAGTCCCAAAACCGCGCGCCGCCGCACCCGCGCACACAGACTGACATGGATGACAGATAGACACGCACACACCGCGCCGGACAGCAGCTCGGCTACCGCCGGCGCGCCCGTCCAAAATAACTTATCACACACGTTCCGCCGCCCATAGAAAACTATAAGCACGCAATGAGAGATGCGATCACCAGTGGCTCGGGCCGGGAGGCCGACCCGGTCCAACTGGCGCACCCCAAGGCTGCGCTGACAGCGAGGTCACTTGGGACTCCGCTCCTCCCCGACCTGCGGGGTCGGGCTAAAGGCGCGCTCAGAAGGTCTTACGGTGGACGGCCCGTGCGCCCTCCTCCTCGTACTCCTTTTTGCTGACCCACATCTTTTTGAAAGTGTCGAGCGCGGCCAGGATCGATCCGCCGATCCAGGTGGAGTAGACGCGCTCCTTGGGCGCCGACATCTGACGGGCGGACGGATGGGGGTCGGTAAGGGAACGACACAAACACGACGGTGACGACTCGTACACCGCAATCAGGGAGCCGACCCAGCGGAGCATGACAAAGTACAGCAAACGTAACCGGTGCAGTCACTCGAGATAAAAAACCTAATTATTCAGAGGAACTCAATACTCCTTACCTAGCGCCGTTAGTACACAGTTAAAGGTAGTGTGCCAGCTTTCCTGGACCGTATGGAGTTAATGGCCCAGATAAGGAGAACCGGATTTTTAGAACTTATCCATACCTTCAAAACTCATGGAAACGTTTTAAATTCTTCAAATTTTGAGTACCCCAGTGCGCAATTCGCCCCGACGGGTTGTCGGTCGTACCCCAACCACATTTCACACCACTATGAACAATTAACGCACACACTGAAATCGCTATTACCGATATGCTCATCCAATCAAGTTTCGATAAACCCGTTCATCATCATCTCCTGCGGTTTCGAACACGCCTGTTAGGTGGTGCGGTAGACCGCGCCCAAAGCCAGGGCCCCGGTAACGTGAGGTAGCCGAGTCGGGGCAGCGTGCGCTGACCCAAGCCGGGGCCGCGCGTCCTCCCGGTGTCATGTGATAGCCCGGGGCTGCCCGCGGGGATGCGGTAGACCGCGCCCAAAGCTGCGGCCCCGGCTTGGGTCAGCGCACGCTGCCCCGACTGGGCTACCTCACGTTACCGGGGCCCTGGCTTTGGGCGCGGCTTCTGCTCATACTTTGTGGTGCGGTGGTGGTGCGTCGGGCCGCGCGCTCTGACTTCGGCCAAGAAAAATGCGTCAGCTGATCATTGTCATTTCTGCCACTTGCGTGTGGTGAAATGGGGTCATAACTTAAGAGACGGCTTTTTCATATCAATTATTTTACATAAAATCATATTTCAAACCATAAATAATGTTCGACAGCCAAATAAAAGAAACAATACCAATACAGGCTTACAGTTTAAGGCTCGACATTGTGTTGTCTACGATTAGACAGCTGATAACTCATTCCCGTACGTCAGAACTCTATAATGACCTTTGCTTATTGTCACATGTGCGCCGCATTCGCGATTGTTGCCGACGCCTATTTGCAGCTCAGCCCACTACAATTGTTATACATATCGCAAAACCGATAAACTTTTAGGCGAAAAAGGCACTATTCCAGGCCCATTTTTAATTTTTTTTTTTGCGATATTAGGTAAAAACAGAAGCTTCTTATCCTAGGAAAAATAAAATGGAAAATCTTTCAAAGGTGGCACACTACCTTTAATGGGTTACCTAAAAATGAATGGGCACAGTTCCTGATAATCAAGTACATAAAGTACGAAGTCTAATTCTGTTGCTGGTTTACCTTTATTTTGATGTCTTTTGGTGCCAACCGTTTCACTTCACTGAGGAAACGGTCTCCGAAGCCCTGAAACAGTTGAAATTCGATTCATAAGACGCAGGTCACATCCGCGGTCAACGAGTGGCTGTTTGTTCGTTATTTTTCATAATGCGACTTTCAGATTAACCTAGCGATAATATATCGAAAAAAGATAAATAAATGCTTTAAATAAGATATTCTGTTATTTAAAGCATTAAGATGTTTAAATAATTAAATAATTGAAATAAGGTATGCTATCATGAAACAGAAGGTCCGTCAACAAGTTAACAATCAAATGTGTTCTTCTGGACCGACTTCAATTAAGAATAAGCCATATTTTGAGGTGTATTTCACCCACCTTGATGAGCGTCGATCCGCCGGAGAGGACGATGTTCTGGAAGAGCACCTTGCGGAGGTCGAGGTCCGACTTCTGTATGGAGTACATGAGCACCTCGTGAATGCCCTCGTACTCGGCTCCGATCAGGTCGGGCCGGAACAGCACCTCGGGAGCGCGGAACTGCGCCGCGCCAATCTGACCGGGGGGGAGGGGGGCAGGGGGCACGGGTCATCAGCTGGTGGTCACAATAATACCTCGGCCACGCCTATCTGAAGCGGAGGGAGGGGTGGCGTAAGTCAGGCTTGTTAGTATTCCCAGCCACACATTCTCTGGGCCGCCCACTCCCTCCCCACGCAGACGTTCGATAAGTGGACATCACTGCAGTTTCCCAGCAGTCCGGATCCCCTACCCACGCTCCACAGCGTCCGCCACTCGGTGTTCGCCGAGTCCACTGACCTCCAGGTGGCTGCCGTCGGGCAGTGTGTAGCGCACTCGCTCCGGCTCTTTGGCCTCCTCTCGGCTCGGGTCCGTGGCCACGTAACAGGCCCGCTCCTTGATCGCCTTCACCACCTCGAACTCGGCCGTCGTGTGGAAGTTGACGCCCTCCTTCCGCAGCAGAAGCCTGTGACGTCAGAGCGAGAGAATAAGTGACGTCATTGGACCACACGACCGACGCGGGTTTGTAGGTGGGGTGCGACCGATATTCAGGTGTACTAATGAAACTAAAGCGAACTACACCATTTTGCGGAAACGCTGTCGGCGGGAAAGGCCGAGTGAAGAGCCAACAATAGCGTCGTCTGGGTCGAACTAAGCTGGTGCATGACTTAAAATGACTAAAATAAATCACATCGCGGAATCCATGACAGGCGTCCGAAATAAAAAAACAACGCCCAAGGCATAAAGGCACGGTAAAAACTATATAAAACGTCAATTTCCACCACTCCTATCGGCTATTGAAAATATATTTAAGTAAGATAACCTTGCATACATCGAGCGCACATCCGTTTCCATCAAACGCTCGGCTGACGTACCTCAGGTAGCGGGAGACGTCGCGTCCGGCCACGTCCACCCTCATGATGCTGTGCGGCAGCGCGAAGCCCTCGTAGATGGGCACGGCGTGCGTCACTCCGTCTCCGGCGTCCAGCACCACGCCCGTGGTCCGACCCGTGGCGTACCTGGGGAGGGAGGGGGCCGTCAGTCGACATGGTAGAGTGGCAGGACCGGCAGCGTTATCTGTTAAAAAAAAGATCGGCGTGGGATATTAATGTGCATAAGAACTATTCTAATATGTATTAATGCGTAATTAGATGAGAACGCTAAGTCAGTTATGTTAACCCTCAACGATCATTAACTGTACGAAAAACAGTACAAACTGCCAAAAGGTAAGTGTAGCGAAAACTGTTATTTGTTGCCTACTTACAGACTAAGGACGGCTTGCATGGACACAAACAAGGCAGGAACTTGAAGGGTCTCGAAGAACAGGTCTGCGGACTTTTCTCGATTCTTCTTCGGGTTGAGGGGAGCTTCCGTGAGAAGCACAGGGTGCTGAAAAACAAAGTATTGTGAGATCCAGAGGGACGCCACTCTATGGCGTGCCGTTATCAGCCAGCTTGTACGCAATGATCGCGATGCATTATTTGCCATGGACGATTTCATCCATAATCGCATTCTGATTGGCCATCGTTCGTAGAGTGACCATACTTTACAATAGATAGCCTTAGTAACCAGCTGGCATAACACATCATATTATCATTTTACCATTGATTAGTATTAGAAACACACCTATTACCGCCGAACGTTTCTTAACATACATCGCTCCCTCTACGAGTAAAAATATTTCGAAATTAGGATATTGTGACAAGTGACGATAAAAACGGCCTTTCAGGAAACATACGCCATTCTATAGACAGAGCAGAAAGACAATAATACGTTCACTCCACTCCATGGCCATCGAGATCTCGACCGGTCGACCGTGCTCGCCGCGCGTCCGCTCACCTCTTCTGAGGACGTCTTGAGCTGGTTCTTGCTGTAGATGTACTGCCAGATACGCTCCATGTCGTTCCAGTCGGTCACAATCCCGTGCTCCATCGGATACCTGTCATCATAGTGGAGCGGCGTGACAATAAGAAAATGTCACATGACTCACACGAATAGTAAGTTGGGCAGCTGACCATACAGAAGGTTTCCAGAGGTGCTCTCATTTCTTAAACGGCATACCTGATGCTGAGAAGACCTCTGTGCTCTTCCGCCTTGGGACCGACGAAGATGTCTCCCTCCAGCGCCCCGGCCATTACCCGTACGTGTTTCGGTCTTCCCACACTGAAATAAGGAATACCACAGTCAGCGTCATGGTAAAATGATTGGAGCACTATATATGGCCTTGGATTGAGCTGTAACCGAATAGTCAGCTACATTTTTTCTTCACAACTATGGTTTGGCACATGACACGACGTGCGGTAACGATCCCTTGGATACAGCAGGAATGCCCAGTCGAGTTCGAGGTAGCAGGGATAATCGTTTGTCAAACGAATTTTCATTTGCAAAGATATAAGCCACTCACAAGTGTTTCAGCCAGCAGCCTTCAGGTCAGGTCGGGTCGAGTGATGCCGTTCATACTCACGTTTGCTATGTACATCAGATAATGTCTCGCTTCATGCTCGCACGTAAAAAGCTGTCACACAAATAGCATGTCGATAGTTGATGACTACGTAAACACTACCCCATAAAACCAATAGCCTTCTTGGTGAAATCTACAGGACACTACCGCACCACTCTCGCCCCAAGGACGTAGGATCGGATACTCACTAGTTTGGGAAGTGGCACTTTGGTGTTTGATCTCCAGCAAAGCCTGCCTTGATCACACCAGATCCCTGCAACAACAACGGGCAGCATTAGCATAAGCATGACAAGCCTGAGCTGAAGCAAAATGCTAATTTGTTTGGATCTTCAAGAAACTGGCACATGACAGAAGACTTCTGACAAAGCTGTTCAGTCACAACTGGTGTGAGCAATCACCGTCAATTGAAATGAGTGAATCTTACACTGTGTCTGGCACCGTGAAAAGCTTAACATGACTGAAATCTGGGGGGGGGGGGACAAAGGCTCAAGATACAGGTGGCCATTCAAGTCAAAACAATGGACTTGTGGGAAAGACTCAAGGCCACACAATGTGTATATCCTTAACAGTCTGTGGCAAAAACTGTGTTGGATAGATACAGCAAATACATTTTGGTGGATTCACTGGATTTAAAACCATGCTAGAAAGAAGTGAAAGAACTGTTATTTCTAGGGCAACAAACACATCTGTACAAACATATCATCAATTATGGGAAATTCTTGAAGAACAGAGATGGGAGACAGGCAACAGCTAATGAAATTCAGTGACTTGAGAGGGCAGGTAGGCACCTTTCCAAATCAATTGACATGTTACACAATACAAAGCTTCCAAGAGTGTGAGCATTCACTGAGCAATGCAATGGGATAGGTGGATACCGACACACCGGGTGATAACTTATCAAAGTAAGGCATCAAAACATTATATCACAAATGACTTATCAAACTCACATTGTCAATGACAACAGGCTGGTTGAAGATAACATCATAGGCATCCATGTTTACAGAAGGCCGGCACAGTACCAGCTGGCCAGGACTTCCTTATGAACACCTGGCAGAAGCTGGATAGGTACTTGACTCCTGCAATGGACACAAAGTAAAAGTCAATGCCCTAATATATAAAAATCTATAAATAAGTCAGGCCATTCTAACAAGGCATCTATGGCAATGAGTGTGTTATGATACTCAAATACTAGAAATTTAGGGGGACAGACAGACTGACTTGCAAGGTAATCATACAGCTACAAGGAATTACCAATGTGGGAATGCAATCCAATTTCAATTTGAGGGTTTTCTTCACTTCCTTTTCATTGGTTTCATTTTCATTCCCAGCCTTTTTATCCTGTAAATTAAAAGCTGCAAGGCACCATTAGTATTACATTTTTTCACAGAAAATGAGACAAATTGACATAATCAAGTGCAGGGAAAGCTTCACATTAATTTCAACACACACTGCAAAGAAAGGATATTTTAATTGCACTTAATTTTCTATTGGCATTTGTCAAAGGTTGCGGGGCATGATTAATAATTGAGAACTTGCTGGAAGGTTGCCAAATTATCCCCCATGGCAATCCCAACTATGAGGACGGAACAGAAGTTATCACATTCCCTCGTGAGTCTGAACTCTCATTTTATAAGGTTTCCCTTTCTGACTATCACACCTATTGTTAAAACTTGTCAATCAGGGAGTGTCAACAACATCAAGGTAACAAAATGAAATTGAGAGTACTATGCCACCAGATGCCTTTTGAAATAAATCTGATAGGCGCCTCCCATCCCAGCCCAAGCCCATCATTCCACAACACTGTACGGCAAAACCAACACAGTTGACTGTGTTTACACATCACGAAGTTGCGTGTGATAGAATGGAAATCATTGGAGTGATTTAAAATAAACCAGTCAGCCCAACAACTCACGAACTCCCCACCGTGACGATAAACCCTTCGTGACACCGCCACCCCACCCTTTCGTGAGTCACGAAAACATAAACAACGCGGTTGCGACATTTGCTGGCGCCCAGTTGCTGTTCATATTTTGAAATAGCTGCTCACAGTTGAATTTCAACCAATTGAAACATTTAGCTGACGTCAGCCTTTTCTGTTTCGCAGCACGATTCGTTCCGCGCTACAAAAACGGTTTTCGTAAATAATGCTGAACAGTGACCACACATCCCCAACGTTCCGTGAAAGCCCGTGATTTGCAATCTCACGAAAATGTGAACGTGTGTGCCCGTGTGTGCACGGTGCGTTGCTGTTGATAATAGACCACAAACGGAACGAAATTCTGTGGTACCTACGTTCTAGCGGTGCTCTCACCCGAAGGTCGAGTTTTTGGCCAGGCAACTGGCAAACAAGGAACGTTTTACTCCCTTTTCTGGGTCTACAGCGATGTGTCACAAGTGCATCAAAGACGAATATCCCACCAGGGTAAGCATGATGTACTTGAGATTTTAACTTCACTTCATGATGAACCTATCTAATCTTACTATCAATTGAAACATAGCTATAGAGAGAATTAAGTAAGCTAAAGCACACCCTGATCTGTTTTCTGTTGCTACAGGACCGCATGGTTTTGGAGAGTGGCAGCTTCATACAGAACCTATTGGCCTGCTCAGAGTGTGGCACCCGGGACATCAAGAACGCTGACAAACATGAGCAAGAGGATGAGGATGGCACAGAAGTCATCACATTCTCTCGTGAGTCTGAATTCACTTCGTAAGGCTTTCCTTTCTGTGGTTACCGTAATGTGGGGCTATTTGGGACAGTGGGGCTATTTGAGACAGTATTTAAAATTGCTATAAATAAAAACCACTTAAAATTTATGCTTTATTTTTTGCTCAGGCGATTTACTGCTCGATTCCATACCTCCCGGCTCCCAGAGCAAAAATATCTCAAAAATCAAACGATCTTCATTTTATATCGATTTTAAACACCGTCTCAAATAGCGCCACTGTCTCAAATAGCCCCACTTTACGGTATCACACCTATTCGTTAATCAGCATCACCCGTAGCCTCCTGTCCCGCTCACCCCTCACGTCTGCCCCTCTGCTCGCAGACCGGTGCTCCGGCTGCCGGCACGTGATCGCCATACACCGGCACACATTCGCGGTGGAGGACGGGTACCAGGAGTACGCCATGGAGTGCAGTCTGTGCGGCCACGCGCAGGACTCGCACTGCGTCCTCCCGGACGACCCGCGACACAGCCTGCAGGCGCAGCTGTTGTAGGCAGCGAACGCTGTGTGCTGAACCTGCAGAGGAACACCGTGAACCCGATGTGCTGCTGACTGCCGAGTGGGAAAGGCGTAGTGAGCACACGATGGGAGACGTGAGTGTAGCTTTGCCGTGTCTTTGCTAAAACACCGGCCTTACAGGTGCTCAATAAGCGTAGAGGTGATCTCCATTTGCTCAGCCTCATGAACGTCATGTCGTCATTGTTTTGTGATCTGTTGGGTATTATGCCTTCCCATCAGTCTTTTGAGCGTTGCTTTTGCAATCGTGATAGGGTCGACGGTTGTGCTTGTCACCATATATGATGTCGAATATTTATAGTTGCTGAGAGCTATCGATAGCTGACACTTCCAGGAGTCTAAAATATGTGAAAAGTGACGCATTCAAAGTGCGTACTAGTCGCACAGTGGTTGAGCTCTTCAACTCTCGCGTAATTGTGGTACTGTATGGTTTTTGCCAAACGTGACTGAGTGTTCCCTTACAAGCCGAGTATCTAGAAGTTAATTGTTCCATTGGTATTTAATAACTACCATCGATTAATATATCAGGACTTTTGTCTAACAATCATAGCTTTCAGACTAAACCAGTAGGGGACGATCTTTATCAATGTATGACAAAAAGTCGATCATATGAAAACAAAGATCAGCAATGACCGTGGCGCGGTAGTCATCACATACTAACACAGACCAGCAGCGACGCGCCCAGCTCCCTGCCTGTGACTGTGGGTGTCCCCCGGACTGTAACAATGCGGTCGGTGGACGGGCCCGTCGACCGATCAGTCTGTGACGGCCGCCCTGTTGAGCGAGCGGTCCACCTTGAAGCCGGAGAGGATGTAGCCGCCGCCGCCCGACATGTTGATCTCGGGGTGAGTCCGCTCAGGAAGCACCTGAGACAGGTCGCGGGGGGGGGGGAGGGATGTCAGATAGGACCACGGCTCTCATTGCCTTATTTGATGGATGGAAATTGTAATCTTGTGAGTGTAACTGTACAGTGTGCTAGCTTAGTTCGGCCTTATTACGTAAGTGTTACCAATTAATCCAGCCTTCCTCATTACTGGAGAAGCATGTAACTTACATTTTCCAGCACAAATCACGGCTAACACAGTGCCAGCAAACATGGCCCCTTATTCACGTCCACTATTAAAAAATAAATTTATTACAAGCCCCAGTGCTCAATACCAGTTTTACTTGATACATGCAAAACCCGTCGATCTCTTGAATTTCATTGACGCATGGACGCCGGTTTTAGTTACATACCTGGTAATTCCTTAGCCACGTCTCGGTGACTTTCAGCATGATGCAGCCCTCGGCTTTCATGGCGAAATAACACTCCAACAGCGGCTGAAACACACCGCCGCCACCACAGGTCAAAAGTAACACCGAGAGTGACCATGCCAGACATCGCACACCTGGAGCAGCTTTTCGATAGATCCGTAAATGAGCCCTAAAAACGTAACAACACTTATCATGCCATCCCAATACCGAAGAGCTGACAAAACGCGAGTGACCAAACCCGCACGCCCTTCCCGATCCTCGTTTCGAGGCATTTACTCATCACAAGTAAGATGGGCCATGAGGAAATAAATCGCTGACGTATGCCATGGCCCTGATGACCCACCTCTAGAATTATCAAGACCAATCAAGAGAAGGCCAATACTCTACACAAAGGCAAGGCAATTTAGACTTCAAAAGCAGCGGTGACTCTGTAGGCAGTGTCTTGTGACTGAAACAGGCGAGGCTGCGAGCGTACCTCTTTATACGGACAGAAGACTGTGAATGGCCGCGACACGGCGAGGAAGCGCAGCAGGTAGCGCAGGAGGTTGACGGGATGCTGTCGGCAGCACAGCAGCAGGCCGTCCATATCCTTTGAGGACAACATGTTCAGCGCCAGTTCAGAATCCTCGCAGCGCGTCCTCGCGTACTGAAAGCAGACCAGATGCGTGCGATGAGAACATTGCACGCAGGGGTTGGCAGTGCGGAAAGTCGACGGTTTAAATGTAGGTAAAACAATGTAAGCGTTACTGTAAGTTCTCGCACACTGAATCGTCACCAGCGTTGACTCAAAGGTCTTACCTTTTTGACACTAATATTGTTCTTTGTGCAAAATTGAATTTACAACTTTGACAATTGTGCATGCATGTGATTCCGCTCCACATGGTACGTCGAAAACAAAAGAGCGCCCACCTTGGATTTTCGCTCGGAGGTCTCCGTCTGACTGCCGCTGAGGCGGCGTTTTCTCGACTCCTGTGCCTCCGTTCCCTCGGTTTCCTCTGCCGTCGCAGCAGTAGGCTCCTCAGTCGCGGGTGTGACGTCATCACCGCCATCGGGTACGACGTCACCACCGCCGTCCGTAGTTGTGACGTCACCGCCTCCACCTGATGACGGGATCCCGTCGGCAGCTGCTTTTGGCGATTCCGCCGCCGTCTGCGCTGTCTCGCCATTCGGAGCGACTGTTTCCCGGTCCGTCGCGACCGTCTCGTCGGCCTGAGCCTCTGCGCTGGCGGGGGAAGCGCCGGGAGCGGGAGCTGCAGAGGCGGCGGGGGCGGAGGCGGAGGGATCGGCCGGATGATGGGTCATCAGTGTGCGTAGGTCCACACACGACAAGCAGGCCAACTGGTCAGATGTGAAGTTGATGGCGTCCACCGCGTGCCTGGAAACCAACAAACACGAGATTAGACAATGCTCGTAGCGCTAGGATCGGTGCTCGCAGCTCAGCTACAGTCCGGAGCTCTGCCCTCTATGCGTTACCGACTTCGAGGAGCACATGACATGACTCCTGCCCGAACTATTACGGCGCGCCAGAGGCGGATCCAGCTCAGAGTTTTTTTTTTTGGGGGGGGGGCAAACCATAACAATTTATAGATTCTTTCCATGCCTCGTCCATAGGCGTACTGTTAAAATTATGCCGTTTGGGAGGGGCAAATGCCCATTTTGCCCCCCCCCCCCCGGGATCCGCCACTGCCGCGCGCCCTGGCTCAAGAGATGGCCCCCTTCCCCACCTCCATGCCATGCCTCCACGGAATAATTAGGCGTTTCCGCGTCCCTAGCTCAGCTCCAGCGAACCCCCAGAACTCTCCGTCGGAATCCTACCTCTGCGGCGTTCCTCCCTGGAAGAGGTGCACCAGGTGACCGTGGCCGCCGAGCCGCTCCAGCACGGCCGCCACAGTCACCGCCAGGCAGCCCGACTCGAGCACCAGGTAGCGGCCGCCCGGCCGGACACTGCACGCCGTCAGCAGCTGGCTCAGCGAGTCCACACGCAGGTTCCTGGCGAAAACGGGCGGCTGGTGAGACAGTTAATCAGTACGGAGTTTGTGCTGGACGGAGTGGTACGGAAGACGGTGTCAGACTGACGGGTATATACGGGGACGGCTGGTCAGACAGACGGCTCGGTAGGGGACACAGCGTCAGACGAACAGGTCAGTTATTATAGTCGGCATGTGAATGTGTGTCAGGATGTTTAAATGTCAAACATAAGAGATACGGTGTTATATAGACGGGATACGGTACCTAGATAAACATAAATGCGGTTCCTCGAAATGAAATGACAGTGGCGATAGAAAACAATCATCAAAGCTCGGCTTAAAACAATTCATTTTAAAGGTACGCTTTTTGTTGACGTTTTTTATTAGATAAAATATGTGTTTCGATGCACTTTACGCCTCGAACAAACCAAGCATAAGTTAACATAGGCAAGGCACAAAATGCTACCGATTAAGTTGAGCTTCTTTGATATGTGCACTGTGCATTGTTCAGGACAATGTAGGGTGCGCGGAGCAATTACAACGTTACGCCGCTGCAATACAACTGACATGATCTTCAGCGGGTCCTGCATGTAGTACATACTGGCGACCAGTCTGACCGTCGGCTCTTGAACACTGATGAACTCGAAATACTTTTTCTGTTTCTTCCGCACATATTTCGCTTGCGAAAACTCAGTTTTCCCCTGGAATGATCTGTGAATGAAAACAAATAATCGGCTCAAGATCAAAATATTCAGACACAGGAAAAGAAATGGTCAAAACATGAAAGGCCGAACACTCCATGTCGGCTTTGTGAAGCACCCAACTAAAGTTGCAACCATGCCTATAGAGAGGGAACACCTGATAAAAAAGACACAAATTCCCCCCTCCCCCCAAACAAAATCTCTGAGATCTTAAAATATCTAATGAATATACTTAATCAATAAATTTCAACACATTTTCCTCGAAAACACGCTTTGCCCAACACCTGAAGTAGTCTCCCGGGTCTAAGATCCCCCGTGCTGAATCAGGAGGAGCCCAGGCCGTACGTGCTGTTGTCGACGATGGTGGTGACGATCTCCTTCCCGGTGGCGCCCTGCTCCCTCATCTCCATGATGCGCTCCTTGGTCATGGCCTGTGACGTCTGATTGGCCAGCAGGTTACGGTTGTCGGCCGCACTCTCGTCTGTAGGACGTGTGAACACCACGTCTCAGAGGTCGGTATGAAGCCAAACGCTGCAGTTGGGCAAAAGCACGACCGTAATAGCGCACCATGCGACCGTAATGGAGCTCCATGCATGTTCATTTAGTGAAATTGTTGAGCTTTACTGCTAACAGCCCACTGACCAGGTAGATCCATTATACAAGATTCACGATGATACAATAATTAATAATAATAAAAAAATAGGATGGAAAACATGATGCTTCTAACTTTACATAATCACCTAACTTATGCTAAGCAGCCCAGACATTAAGCTGGGCTGTTGGACCCTGCCCAAGGCTGCCAAATGTCCCACGCCGAGACAGGACCAGACTGACCGGCAGCTATGGCATCCGCCAGGTCCTCTGTGTGTTCGACAGGCTCCGGCCGCATCAGGCGCTGCTTGCCTCCGCCAGAGTGTAGTCTGAACTGTGTGCCGACTGGGTGTCCGAGCAGGCCGGCCACGTCCACAGATGCCCGACCCAGCTGACATTGCCTGGCAATGGCAAAGGCAGGTTAGCCGGCTGCAGCACAGGCGAGTGACATAAATTAGAAATACAGATGCACCCGAGCCAGCAAAAACTGCAGCACGGTAGCTCAAAGCGCAGGCAGGATACGATGTATAGTCTCTCTTGAAAGTATCGCGACTCTGAGCGAAGGCGCCACCTGTTCCAGCCGCCGTTGGGCGGAAAAGTTTGAGAGCCGCTGGTAGCACTGACCGATTGACCGAAGCCTGGCACGCATAGTCAGCCAGCGCGAGCGCGGCGGGGCGAGCTAGGGGAGTGCAGGTTGCGGCCTGCGGGGGGATAGGGGAAGGTAGCAGTCGCCGTCCGGTAACTTGTGATGGCAGCAGGCATGTGATCAACGGAAGCCACCCTATTCGCAGAGATTTTGTTGAGATTTGCTTGGTTGCAAAGTTAAGAATTTGACCCGTCATCGGCACGACTGTCACAGGTTCTTGGTAAAATCCGGAAACCCATGCCTGAATACGAAAAAAATCATCAGTTGCGCCCGCTAACATAATGCATCCGTGGTTGCAGATGCACCCGCGAGCGGATTCAAATCACAAAAAAAATCTTTCTCTAGCCAATTAGTCCCATAATTGAAGTTCTCTTTTTTAACGAGC